GAGAATGGGGAATGAGTGGAGAGAGTTGGGGTGGGCATGATTAAGACAGATTATATGGATGTATGAAGTTGTCTAAGATGAATAACAGATATTAAAATAGCAACAAAACAACAGCAACTATACTCAGGGTGAGGTTTCTTTCTCCAACATCATCTTCAATGATATGAGTTCCCAAAGTTAATTAACTTCAATACTTCATAAACATCCCAGGCTTCATACCTCTGCACCCCCAGGGCTGCTATCTGAAGGCAGACATTTTCTCTCGCCTAACAGGAACTTGAAATTACCTTCTTGGTCACAAGTGTCTACCTCATGAAGATAATTTCTAAACTTTCACTGGGAAAAAAATATATCTATGAGAACCTGAGAGAAAAAAAGGACCAGAAAGCTATTTTGGCAGCATATTTTTAGATTGGAGCTTAAATTTTGTGTATATATCAATCAGGTTTCCTTAACATTATTTTAGTGCAAAAAGCCTACAGATTCTGTAAAAGAAAACTGACATAAGAGTAGCTATTTTCGAGAACACTTGTCCTGCTAGACAGCCCAAGAGAGTGCTTGAACTGCATGGTGCCCATGCAGAAGCATAAACAGAGATCGGCTTTTATTTGATCTAATTAAGAGTCCATAAGGATATAAAAGCATAATTAGAAATGTGATATATAATAAAATGGCGTAGCCAATCAAAGGGTAAGAATGAATCATTATCAATTGGTTCTGAGACAGTCATCATTCATGAATATAAATCCCGGATGGCTACATGGCTAGGTTCCAGAAGAGGTATGAACAGCACATTCTCTGTCTTAAAAGCGTAGGCAGAGTTTTGTTTTGAGGATTACCATGGATCATTTGAAGGTTGCTCCAGATCTTGCTTTTGTGTGCCATGGTTCAGGAGCAGAACCTTTTCTCTTTTTTTTAAATTGATAAATAATCACTAATTCTTTTTAAAAATATATATATATATATATATATATATATATATATATATATATAAAATTTTATGTGCACTTGTGTTTTCTCTGCATGTATGTCTATGTGAGGGTGTCAGGTCATGGAGTTACAGACAGTTGCGACCTACTATGTGGGTGCTGGTTTTTGAACCCGAGTTCTCCGGAAGAAAAGTCAGGGCTCTTAACCTCTAAGCCATCTCTCCAGCCCCGAGCAGAACCTTTTCTAGTTTGCCCTTCTGCAGCAGGGGCTGACTACACATCACTGCCAGACTGGGGCACCTTTTCTAATTGCTCCAATATTATTTTCTAGCAGCAACGAAACATAGCTAAGTTGTCACATGAGGGGCCGGCTTGTTGGGGTTTCTGTCCCGCCCGGTACCCCACAACCGGCAACTCCCAACGAAAATCAATCACACAGAGATCTCTATAAGTCATAAAGCTGATTGGCCCATTAGGTCAGGCTTCTTATTAACTCTTATAACTTATGTTACCCCATTATCCTTATCTAGGTTAGCACATGGCTCCGTACCTTTCTCAGCTGGGCAGGTTACATGCTGCCTCTTCAGTGGTCTGCACAGGAATGGCTGAGGAAGCTTCTGCTTCCAGAATACTCCCAGTCTCTTTGTCCCACCCCTACTTCCTGTCTGGCTTTCCCGCCTATACTGCCTGCCTGGCCAATCAGCGTTTTATTAAAATATGATCGACAGAATACAGACAATTCTCCCACACCACTAAGTTAACAAACAATCGTCAGTTTGACAAACACGTCTTGTTTCCTTCCAGATGGTTGCATTGAACACATCTGCCCCAAATTCACATGTGCATGCTTCCATTTCCAGTGGCTTTGGGAAAGGCAGTGCCTTTTACCAGGGCATGAGTGAACGTTCTTACAGAAGAAAACATCAGGGAACCTGTCCCTCCTAGTCAATGCAGTGAGCCTCCATCAGAGGCTGCTTTCTAATTGCCAGGGAGGGATTCCTCATCAGAACCCTAGCCCATGCTGGGTTTGTAGCCTCCAGAACTAAGAAAATAAATCTCAGATTTTGAAACTTCCCAGGGAACACATTTGTAATGACAGCTCTAGCTGAATAATACAATGGTACTATATTTTGCAGTACATTGAAGGTTTGTTTGGTTTTCTTACACTTGTATTTTTTTGTCTGGGTACATATAGATAATATATATGTACTTTGTTAAACAGCTGATAATAGCAATGTACTCCAGATAAGACAGTGCATGAGGACAGGCACCAAGAAGCAGCTTGCATTAATATAATGGTTACATTTCTATAAGAATAGCTTTATTACTACATATTTTAAAAATATTTTAAAATTTAAATATTTTGACAAAACTGCATTAGAAGCATCTTGTCAGAAGAAAAAAGTCAGTTCGTGAAAATCACTTTTATTGAACATTCTTACTCTGGTTCCAGCCATGAGTGACATTCAGTATAGATCTGATACTTGTAATCATTTGAAGTAGATACTATTTATACAGTCATTGTACAAATGTCAAACTAAATTGCAGAGACGCTAACTGTAAAAGGCAAATCAAGGCTCTCATGGTAACACCCCAGTTCTGGAGTCTTCTCTCTTATGCTCAAGAACATGGGGTATTTAGAACATAGAAGGCTAGTGGAAACATTGACAAATAATTTGAATAAAATGAGATGTGGATGTAATTGTTTCTTTGTAATGTCAAGCCACATGAAACCTTCAACACGCCACTATCTTTAACTGCAAAATGAAAATTTCATATTATTCACCCACCAATTTTTTGGTGAATGTGCTATTCTCGTGAGCCTTCATCTTCCATATTCAATTAAGAAGAAGTAATCGAGCAGAACTATCAAACTCTCAAGGAGACATCTGCATACCATTGTGGGAAATCTGGATGCTAATATTAAGGCCTTTTTCTGATGTGAAGAAAGTGCCTTAGGTGAAAATATTAAACATGATTTTTATTGTATTATACCATTAGAGAAAAAATGTTTACCTATCTACCTAATTTCTTAGAACCAGAACAGTTACAGATGAATCTAGCTTCTGGTCATTTTCAGAAGTGAAAGCTTTTTACGTGCTAGACTACATCTCAAAACACAGAATGAGAATTATATTTCTATCCGCATTCCCATTTGGGGGGCAGGGTATCATGTCCTAAACTGGTCTTGAACTTGCTAAGTAGCTACCTATGACCTTGAACTTCTGTCTCCTGTCTCCATCTCAAGGGCTGAGATTACAGGCATGCACCACCACACCTGGTGCTTGTGGTGATAGGAACTGAACCCAGGACTCTGTGGATGTCATGTAAGCCTTCTTCCAGTGGTGCTACATCCGCAGCCCACACAAAATCACAGGTTTGGTTTGGTTTTTTGTGGAGAACTATAACTTGGAGATATGTTTGAAAGCCCTTCCTTGGTATGCAGGGACTGGCTTCAAAATTCTTTAAATCTATATTATTCCATCAAAGGAGTATATATACACACATACAGCTGATAGATAGATAGATAGATAGATAGATAGATAGATAGATAGATAGATAGATAGATAGATAGATA